GGAAAATAGCAGGACAGACTGGGTTCTATAGCCTTGATGTCAACTGGACTAGGAGAAGGTCAACTCTGAATTCAAAATCTGCGTAGGGTCGTTTGGGAACCTTGTGGCACTCGGTGCACCAGGTCTCTGTATTCGTCCCTTCAAAAAGTGTGGATGGTTGATGGTCCTGCACGAAGCCTTCACCACTATAATCAAATCTCATGTGCCGGTGTCGGCTGTCGGTTTCCTGAAACTGATCTGCTTGACCCTCATACGTCGAGAGAATCTCGACGGGAGAGTCGACTATATATATATATATATATATATATATATATATATATATATGGATCTCAGAACAAAGCAACACGTTCGAACGAAACTGCGCAATCTTAAGTACACTTCTTCAGACATTCTGACCAATACATACGGGTCTTCCATCGCAGGGCAGCTAATAAATAGCCATAAGTGTGCTACTAGTTTCAGTGTGGACTCATTTACCGTTCTTAGCAAGTCCCACTCGAATTACCACTTGAAAGTGTTGGAGGCCATTTATATTTTATCATTGAAACCATCTCTGTGTAAACAGAAGGACTTCGTACTTGGCCTCCAACTAATTTCCATCTAAGCAATATTTTTTTTTTCTCAATACATATTGTTCACTTTTTAGTGTTAATTCTATTTATTAACCTCGATTTAGCTCTGTTGAGCGAGGTTCGAAACCGGTTAGCTAACCCGTTTTTCAGTTTTACTTTTTATTTATTATCATCATGAATGGTAATAAAAATAATTTTTGTCTTTTTATGGCAAAATTTTGTCTCACAAAATATCTTCAAATATATATATATATATATATATATATATATATATATATATATATATATATATATATATTAATAACTATACATACTATCACACACCACTAGCACAACTCTGAGTTTCATGCACGACGCAACCTTCGGGTGCAGAATTCAAAATAACTGTTTAACGGTTTGAATCAAAATTTATCTGGCTATCACGACGCTGATGTTTTGATACTTAATGTTACAGTTTTTAATATTGAACCTAGTAAAGTCAACAAAAATGGGAGAAAATAAATAATAATTATAAGTATGAAAATAAATTGAAAATTAAAATGTTAAAATATGATAAAATGAAAAATAAAATAAAATGGAGGATAAAAATAAGAATGATCAAAGGGAGGTAATTATAACACCAAGAAACAATGGTAAAAAAAAGTTTAATATAGTATACTGGAAAAATGGGCACCTCGGCGTGATATAATGGTTAGCAAGCTTGTCTTGCTAGATCAGTTACTACTGAAAAGTGAGTTCGATCCTCACAGTATGCCCCATGCTTTCGGCCTTGTGCCACATCTAAGCTACGCTTGGAAAATCTTTAGTATACTGGAAAAATAGAAAAAAGGTAGAAAAGAATTAATGAAGCTTCTAAGAGCTAATCTGTTGTAGTGTATTTAAGATGTTTATTTTTGTGCCTGCAAGAAATTATTAATTTATTCCTTTGGGTCAATAATTTAGGATTGTTTAAGGTGGTTAGAATAATTACTTTTTCATCTGAACAAAGACGATAATTGTCGCCTTTCCCACTAAAAGCCTTGGCCCTAGAAACAATTTCCCAGTTAATAAATGCTGAAAGTCCTCTATCTTTCAATGCCCAGAAAAATTTAGAGAGAGCAGTACTATGTTTATATTGTACGCTTTTAAAGATCATTTTGTGATGGCAAAAACGCAATTTCCCAGGGTTTTCTGTGGAACCAAAGTAGAATTTAACACCATTACCGGAATTTATGTTCGCTCGGTATATAATGTTGTCGGTCATACATTGACCGTTTAGTGGGCATATCGTATTTTTTCGGTAGTTACATTTACTTACAGATATATTAGTGTAATTATACTTGGGAAAGGCTGAAAGGAGGAGTGAACCATATCATGTTACGTTTGCGTGTTTAGGTTTCTTATTCCCTTCTTTGATTTAGTCCAATTCTTCAAAACTTACTTTACTGCACTTACATTCGTGAAGTCGATGTGCCAAAGAGGAATGTTTATCAAAACAATTACAGTGAAAATATTTATAAAAAATGACACAGGGAAGCTACGCTATAGTGATGGGAAAGTGACTGAAGGCAAGATGCCAGGCTAAGATCGATAACGTTAGAATTTTTTTTTTTTTTTAGATTTTGTTAAGAAGCTCTGGCTATATAGCAGAGGCGCCAAATCAAATGTAATTCTATTCACAGATTATTGGCAGACTTATAAATGCGCAAATCTCTGGCATCGAATTTCCTAGCAGCGGACTTAGCATTTGATTCAATATAATCGTTCCAATTTATGTCAGTGGAAAACGTGAAACCAAGAACTTTCAGTGCGTTTCTCCACTGGAAGTTAGCATCAGCCATGCTGATGAAATGCAAAAACGTTCTTTAAAATGACTAATAGATAGCAGTTTTGCTTTAAACACGTTAATATTGAGAAGCCACTTTTTGCTCAAGATTGAAAGCCATTTCCGAGATTAGCTGCCAATTTGATTTTATCGGGCCTATCAAACTTATTATTAAGACAGGAAAACAAAGTTGTGTTATCAGCAAAGATACCGGGTTGAGAACTCATGACATCGAGGAGGTCACTGAAGAAATAAGAAAAAATATAGGTCAAATAATCCTGCCCTTGTAGACGACCGCATTAATCCACAAAAAGATCAAGAGGAGTGGCCGTTCGTGACAACTTTCATTATGTGGTTTGAGAAGAAAGATTGAATCAAATCAACGAAATAGCAAGAGAACCCTTCAACTTGTGAATCAGACCAGTATGCCAAACCCAGACAAATGCCTTCGAGATATGTAAAGCAACAGCCCATGTCACGCCATTCTTATATAAAGCTTGTCAGACTATTTCAGTAATAACCGTAAACACATAGGTGGTTGACACAGTGAAATGAAAGCGGTATTGTTTGTCTGAAAGAAAACTTTACGATGTGAGCTGTTTAACCAATTCGGAGTTGATGAGCGCATCTAGTACTTTATCAAAAAGGAGATAGAAGTTCGAAGGATCGGCTGTCTCAACTGGTGTTCTTAAAAACAGAAACTGCTATTGCATATCTTGTAGTACATTTCTAAAGGACAATTGCAAGGATATTATCGAGTCCATAAGCTTTGAGAGGTTTAAGTTTGGGGATGATGAAGGAAACCATGAACAGAATTGTATGCATATCACACAGTACAGACTCAGTTCTGATACAACACCACAAAACTAGCCATAACCTTTATTTTACAAATACCACCCTAACGAAAAAAGAACATAAGTCTCCACAAAGAAAGTACTTCGAGAGCCTACTAATAACAATATAACCAACTATAAATACACGTAAAAAATATTACATCACCAACGTTTATTGAATCCATTCTTAAAGAATCTAACTCATGTTTATCTACAACAAACGATATGTGCTTAAAAACGTCCCCAAATCAACATGCAAAAAATCAACAAACATAATGTCTAGTAGACATACACACACTTACGAATATACATTATCATAAAAAAATATTTCTATAACTCTAGACATACTTAATAAATCCATACATTCAGTTAAAAATAAAAATCATCTTTGATAATGGCTAAAAGAATAACAGAAAGGGCCCAGACATACAGAACTTTTGGACAATTTTTACACACTTTGTGCCCAGAAAAGATAAACATTATACAAACGCAAGAAAAAATAAATAAGAAAACTTAATTACAGTACCTTATCAGTTATCTTTAATGAAACTTGTATAAAAGAGGGATTGCTACCCAAATACACAATTATATATATATATATATATATATATATATATATATATATATATATATATATGGCCTGACGTTTGCGCTTAACATGAAATAGACTGTCGCCTCTGGGTGTTGACTTTAATGTCCACTGTTATATTTACATACGCTCTGTCCCTGATATTGGGCATTTTAACACATAAATATAGCATACCTTAAAACTATATTTTATCATTTATATATATATGTGTGTGTGTGTGTGTGTGTGTGTGTGTGTGTGTGTGTGTGTGTGTGTGTGTGTGTGTGTGTGTGTGTCAGCGGAATTGGCCTGTCTACAGACTAAATTCGTTATGCATTCCTGTCGCTGTGAGTTGTCAGCGTTTGAGCTTTGAGTTTAAAAAGAATCATAGGCGTATCTCACCTGAAAGGCTGATTTAGTACAAGCTTCCCTCCCGCCTCATTTAGAAAGTAAATATCTATGACTAGAGAGCGAGAATAGATTGAATGACTTAGTCGCTTAGTTAATAATCCCACCCCGCCGCTACACAGTAGAGTTTCAAACTCACCACTTGCTAACCATTACTTTGCAGCAAAGCACTCACAGATATTTACTCAGCTTTACTCACTAGGCATAAAATCGCAACTGTGGAGTACCCGGTTAGCATCAAACTCACTGTAATAGTAAGGATCTGAGAGACTAGCCTATCAATCAATGTTCTACTACCAGGTGCCGTAGAGAGATTATCCTAGCTTTACTCAACCTCATAAGGAATCAGCCGCACAAAGCATTCTGTGAGGATCGAACTCATTGCAGTAATAATCTTTTTTAGGTATTCTCGCTCTACGTTAAAAAAGCTTATATATTTTTACTGACCTCCCCTTTAGTCTGGTACAAGGCCACCATAATAGAGCACTATTCTCTTCTAGGCTTGATTTAGGAAGAGGACTGCCCACATCTGTTGTACGGGGAGGTCTAATGGGAGCGGCTCAGACTAAGAAAATAGAGAAATGAGTTCTAATTTCGGTAGCGTTAGTTATATTCACTCACACGTAAATATCCTTGGAAAAGATATGAATCCGCCTCTTCACTCTCCACCTATGGGTTAGATATTAGGACCTGTATCTGGAAAAAACGTTGTCATCAAAAAGATTGTTAAAGCAACATTCGCTTGCAAAATAAAAATAATTCTTCTTACTTGCTTTAAATAACCTACAAAGTGTTGATAAGCCGTAAAAAACAAATCAATCAATTTGTGGTAGTATTGCTAATATAGATAGATAGATAGATAGATAGATAGATAGATATAGATTATTCCACTACACACTTATTCTTCAAAGAATAAAATTTTTAAAAACATAAGAAAAACTTAATAAAATAATATTCTTTCGTTGTCATATTCAACGGCACCTGCGTAAAAGCAGGACTATTGCGCAAGTATATATATATATATATATATATATATATATATATATATATATATATATATATAAATAAAGACCACTTTAAGGTTCCATGTAATAAATTATTTCACCACAACTCTTTTAAAAGGACTGCGGATCATCAGGACTTTACTTCCAAACAAAAATGAAAAGAAAATTTACACATTTTTGACGGGCCGTATTAAACATATGTAAAATAACGAAGTCAGGAAGTGAGGGGGGAGAGAGAAGACATGAGTGAGTCAGCAGTTATTGACACATTTAAACGGTATGTATGATAAAAAATTGATTCAACCATGAGTTTTTAATTTTCCTTCCACATACAACTGAAACAATTTTATGAGATATTACTTACCAAATATCAGGCAAAATGGCGAACATAAACTAGAGTTATAACAGAAAATAACATGCATCCAATACTTATGCGTGTCACTGTATATATATATATATATATATATATATATATATATATATATACTCGATTTGTTCTTATAACAGGCAGGCGTCAAGCCGCAGATATTGTTATACGACAAACAAAAAACCTTTAAAATTGATCATTCAGATATATAGAATATAAATGACAATATAAGTAATGCTGTCATGTCAGGTAGAAGCGCTTTCTTACATGCTTACAGTTTATGCCATTTTGTTTACCCAATTATTGAGAATTCCTGGATGTAAAGAAATCATTTATCTAGTCGAAATAGCGTTGTGAATGAATTTTCTTTCAAGTATATCTCAAGATTCAAAAGAATATACTGAAACTATTTACTTGGAAATTTATTTATTAGTTTTTTTTTTAAGTTCAAATGCTTATACTTCGTTCTTAGAATCAGACAAAGGCTTGTATGTCTAGATTTCACATTGAGTAAACATTAATAATTCTTTGAAAAACTAATTTCTTTGAGGGCGACGCTGAGTCTCTATACCTGATTAGTTATCAAGACTGAAATGCTTTAAAACAGATGAAAAATTGACGATTTCTTTACATGTGACTTAAAATCTCTATACCATGAAACGAGATGTTTCTATTTCTGGTTTAGTTATTTTAACTTGTCCGTTGGTTTCTGAGCTGCTGTGACCTGAAACGCACAAAAGGATTAATGTTGTTGGCATTTGTCTTCATCTACAAGTTAAGCGCTTTAAACGCCGTCTTCGATGTCTGTTCTCAAGAAAGTTTTAGAAAAAATATCTTTTTTTTTACAAGATTCATTGCATTGCAAATATTTGTTCTTCGCGAATCCTACAACTGAATATTGTTCAAACATTTACCAGAACGATTGCTGACTAAACTCCATCGCAATGGAGTATAGTTTTTTTTTTTGTTTTTGTTTTTTGTTCTTCTTTTTCATTTGAAATTTAACATTTAACATTTATCAAGTTAATCTTCTTTGGGAATGCATGATATTCAAATTGTGAGTAAAAAACACGGCAAGGAAGGAACCACCAAATAAGAAGTGGCGGGAGAGGCTAATCGATATTAAAAATGGTGGCAGAGCTAAATCACATGTTAAAAATGGGGGTGGAGTAAATCCAGTATTAAAAATAATCACATGTTAAAAATGGAGGTGGTGCAAATCCGATATTAAAAATGGTGAAAAGGGTAAATCATTTGTTAAAAATGGGAGTGGTGTAAATCCGATATTAAAAATGGTGAAAAGGCCAAAACATATGCTAAAAAGGGGGTGGGGTAAATCCGATATTAAAAATGGTGAAAAAGCTAAATCATATGTTAAAAATCGAGTGGTGTAAATTCGATATTTAAAATGGTGAAAAGGCTAAATCAAATGTTAAAAATGTTGCTTGGGCAAATCCGATATTTAAAATGGTGAAAAGGCTAAATCAAATGTTAAAATGGGATCGGGGTAAATCCGATATTAAAAATGGTGAAAAGGCTAAATCAAATGATAAATGGGATCGGGGTAAATCCGATATTAAAAATGGTGGAAAGGCTTCCTGATGACTTCAGTTCCCAAATCGTTATCGACGCTGTTGACATAAATATTTACACTTGTCTTAATAGCAATTGTGATTGGTTCACATCTCAAATGCTTGACTTTATGAATTTAAGCGCAGTATTAGATAGGTGGAAAGTTTTAACCCTTTTACATTTGAAATGGCTACATGCAACCATAAGTTCTATGCTTACAGTTTTTTTTCTATCGCACTCCTTGCTTGTGGAACTCTCTTCTAGCTTCTTGCTTTCCTGTCAACTTTGACCTTTCAAAATTTAAAAGCAATGTCAATTGTTATCATTTGTTTTCCTAATCCTGGTTCTTTTATTGTTCTCTTTCCTTAATAGTTTTTATATCATAGTCTCTTACACTTAGTAACCCCTTGCGTGTTAGTGGCTTTATTGCCTTGCTTGGTGCAAAATGATTAAATACAAAAATATATGCATATATATATATATATATATATATAATACAAATAGCAAAATTGTTACTTAGCTGATTACTGTTATATTCAGCATCTACACTCCAGATGAACTTCGTAGATGAAGCTCTGGGTAATTGTTCGCTCAACTAACCAGCAATTATCATGAAAATATTTATACATATAGTTTTTCTTTGAATTTCCTATTAATACATTGATGGTAATTGTGCTGATGAATTTTCCTGTATAGTACCGAGACTTTATGAATTTAAGTCCATTACTAGATTGATGGAATATTTTGACCCTTTTACATCTGTTCAATGGCTAGATGTAATCATAAGTTCTACGCTGTTTCTTCTCTCGCACTCCTTACTTGTGGAATTCTCTTCAGGCTTCTTGCTTCCAAGTCAACTTTGATCTTCTAAAATTTAAATGCAATGTCAATCGTTATCTACTGTCTTCTGGATTACTCTTCCTGTTATTTTTCTCTCTACTTAATTATATTTTACCTTCTCTTATTCATTCACATTTTAATTAACTATCATAGCACAAAAGAATAATTCTTTTATATTAGGTTGGTGCAAAAATAATGACGTAAGAATGTCGTTTTTGACGTTAAAAAATACGTCAAAAAACGACATTATTACGTCATCATTTTTGCACCAACCTAATAGTATTCATATATTGGGCACGTTATACTTTCACCAAGAAGCGGGTAAATATCCCCAAAATAAAGAAAATAAATAAAAACAAGCCGTCCTTAACAAAGAACTTTCATTGATCTTCAACTAAATTGCACCCAATATATATATATATATAAAAGGTGGGGAGAGGGAGAGAAAGATTGTATGTTCTTTTTCTTATGCTTATATATATATGTGTGTGTGTATGCGTGTGTGTGTGTGTGTATATATATATATATATATATGTATATATATATATAAAAGGTGGGGAGAGGGAGAGAAAGACCGTATGTTCTTTTTCTTATGCTTATATATATATATATATATATGTGTGTGTGTGTGTGTGTGTGTGTGTATATATATATATATATATATATATATATATATATATATATAACTGCCCTATTTTAAACACATCTTGAGACCACTCTAAATAAATATATACAATTATCTACCCATTAACACTCTTTTCCATGCTTATCATTTTCTAAAAATGGGTGCCTGTTTATCTTATACGGTCCGAATTCTAGCTTATATATATAAGAAAAGGCATACGCAAATAACGACTCGTTTCATATATATATATATATATATATATATATATATTACTGCCCGTTTCATCCTAAGTGCTTCATAAATTTGACATTGTGTCAAAGTAGATTGAGTGTAACGTGACTAAACCTAACGACACACTCTCTTCCGAACAGAAAAGAACTTTCATCATTTCGGCAATCCAAGTACTTAAGCAATGTAAAACGAGTAAACATTTATCGATGTGTCTGTCCGAGCATAAAGTTATTTACGGGAAAGGAGGACGACTGGACGTTGACAAACTGATTGTTCCAAGGTCTGATGATAAATCGCTGAGGGCGGACGTTCTTTGGTCTTTGGTTTTCACCGTTATTCTGGCTAGCGTCCTGAATCTGTCCCTTCGCCAAATGTCAAATAGGATTGACTGATTGCCTGCGTCACGTAACCAAGCGCAAAAATAATTTGCCTCTTCAGCAAATTCAAGGTTCGGAATCTTCTTTGTTCATTGAAGGCAAACGAATTTTTTCAATAAATCTTCATTTATAACTAAAATTATTCCAATAATTAACGGTACCATTATTCTTGTCTTTGTTGGTTCCAACCCAAATTTGTTCTGTTTTCCGACTCTCTTCAAAATTGCATGTATTAATCTTTAAATGTCGTCTTTTTTAAATTAATTCATTCTTTCATTCATTTGCAAAACTTTCGCTGACGTGTTGTGGTGTACCGTATATCAACTCGGAAAGAGAACTCAAAGAGCCGAGTTCCAATTCCAGTCGGTCGTGTTCTTTATATTCAGTTACGCATAAATACCCTTAGGAAGGCATGAATACATCTTTTCTCCCCACCCACCCCAGCAGAATAGACGGGATTCTTTAGCCTTGGTTGGTAACCAGTATACCGCAGAAATAAATGGCTATCTACAACAGGAAAAAATCTTCTGCCTCGTCAGTCATGTATCGAAAGGATTTGACACTTAATTGACTTATCGACTCTGTAAAAACAAATCACAGCTAAGAGTTTTGTCCCGATAATATAACTATGCGAAACTGTTCCAATTTATTGAATTTACCCTTAACACCATGACCCCAACTCAACCAGGGCCACGGTTGACTGATTGATTGATTTTCTTTTCTTTACGACTCAACAACCTTTTTTTAAGGCTGAATTCAAAACCACCAACTATGGATTAAATACCATCACGGTGAGTTTGGCCCCCATCTCTGAAGGCATGGTCAATCAGGAATGAGAAGCCGCTGGATTTGGTATTGAAATCGACCTCTATTC